AGTGATTGGATTTCGACTTATTTTATACCATTAGAACCGTCTCATCAAGACGAATCGAATGGCGGTAAGATCATCTCTCTACGATTAATATTGGCGAAGTTACGATACAATAAAGTTTTAAGTATAATTCTGGCTAAAATTATGTTAATTTTTGGCCGGAATTATGATATACAAATATAAGAAATTTTTTATATAGTCACATCTCTTTATAATCACCAAATATGGACTGTCCCAAATGTGTGACTATAAAGAGAGTTGACTGTATAATAAAGTTTGTCTAACTAAATTGGGTTTCATTTTTTATGCATTATAATATGTTTGTTTTTTATTTATTATAATAATTTTTATATTACATTTAAAATCCAAAGTGTAAAGAAATCTTCTTATATATAGCAAAAAATATATATATAACTATCATATAGGCTATATGAACGCTTTGCAGTAGAAAAAAACAAAACTACTAAAAAAATTCAAATTTTCTTTTATGTACCAAAAATATTCTAAATGCTATAATTTGTTCAGATTTTATATTAACTCATTTTTTATTTTTTTTAGTAGTTTCATCACTTTCTACTGCAAAGCACCCATATTTCTAATCTAACAGGTAAATTAAAACTTATTCAAGACAAAAAATAAAAGATGTAAGCTTTATTACAAAACATAGTTAAAAAGAAAGAAGAAGCTTTATATATATAAAAATGCAGTTATTTTACTTTTACTATAATACACTTCTTTTCTGGATGGTAAAGAATGTTTGCAAAACCTTCTATTTCATTAATATCTAAAATATACATGTCTTGTGTAAGTTTGCACCATTCAAAAAGAATACCAAGCTATCTAAAAACAAAACAGACTTCCCATCATCATCTTCAAGTAACGGATTAATGTCAGTAATACCATATACATTATTGAGCATTATTGAAATATTCCTTATTTTCCTGGTATAAAAAAAATGACACATCTGAAGGTATAATTTTTATATAAAATAATGGAAGAAGCCCCTATCATTCTAAATATATACTTAAAGGTGGTATAAAAATAATGGTAAAAGTCTCAGATACAATTTTTTACCTTCATTAACACAAACTGGCTATACAATTTTGGGCTATAAAATGGAAACATGTATTACATTTTAATGGTATGTATTTGAAGTCTTTAGCACAAACTGGCTAAAATTGAAACATAATAACTTAGCACCCAAGCTGATCAGAAACTGGTAAACTAATAGGAACTCTCTGGCTCCCTAGTCTCTACCAGTTAGCACTTAGCAGAAAGATTATATCTCACTCATGATGACACTCTTGGTGGCCAAAAATTGCAAGAATTCAATCGGGAGTTATATACAGGTATTATCCATAATTTTTTTTTGATGACGCAACGCGATGTTTCTAATAAAACTACCGCCGAGATTTGTTAAAGAAGGTTTTATTTAAATAATAAGTAAACTTGTAGCTAAAAGGTTAAAAGAGCAATATAGAGAATATAGAGAACGTTTTGCAAAATACACACGATGAATCACGTGATACTATTTTTTAATGATCTTCAACCATAATTCATTATTATATCCTTTTATTAATTCACAAAAAAAAAAAAAAAATCAGACACAATCAATTTACAATAAATCTTGCATCTCCGCCATAAATTTCTCATATTCATCGGCTTTCTTTTTCTTTGCTTTCTTTGCAGGTGAAGGTGCACTACTTGATGTAATTCCTCCTTTTAATTGTGAAGAATCTACTTCTGATGATTTTTGTTGATCTTGTAATAAAGGTATTGCAGTAGAAGCAGATCTTTTAGTAGGTGTAATAGTTGACAATTCATCTATTAAACCATCATCAATATTGGGTGCTGCGTTGACAATAGGTCTTGCTACTTTAGGTTTACTAGCGGCCGCCTTCTTCCTTAGTAAAGCAGTTGGTACGAGAGTTGTCAATTCCTTTTGAAGATTTCTAACTTGAGGTGCAGCCTGTATAACTGGTGTAGCAGTCGCAGCATTTGCTGCAGCTTTATTATACTGACTATTAATAGTTTTCGTATTGTTTGATATTGATTGATGTGAAAATGTTCGTGAAGATATGTTGTTATTACTATTTGGTATCTGAGGTGGTGGTCCGTAATGAGAAACTTGTGAACTAAAGGGTGGAGGTCTAGGATGCGGTATATCCATAGGTCTCACAGGATAACCTTGACTTTGTAATGAATGCATTGGCGCTGGTGGCGGCGATGAGAACGGATTCGGACCTAACGGGTTAAAATATTAGATTATTTTACATTTCTCCCATATAATATAATAAATACTTTGACTTACCTATACCAGATACAAATGCTGGAGGAGGTGGTGGTCTTACATTTTGTCTTTGGCTCTGTGACGCTAAAGGACTATTAAATACAAAGGTACCGGGTGGTGGGGGAAATGGTGAGCCTTGATGATTGAATCCGAATGGTGGATGAGACGGGGATGGCCTCGCCATAGCTGAAGAATGTGAATATGATGATATGTTAGAATTTGGTGGTGGACCAGGAGGTAAATCTGGTAATTCATCATCATCAGATTCTTCTTTTTTAGGGGGTGGACCCGGAGGTAGTTCAGGTAATTCGTCATCAGATTCTTTTGCGGGTGGAGCACCTGGAGGTAATGGGATATCATCATCTGATTCCTGTTTATCTTCTGACGTAAATTCGTTAATTAGATCGGTTAAATAATAATAATAATAATAAATCAATAATAAAAGAATACACACCAGCTTCAGAATCATTATCAGAATCTCCACTTCCACTATCGTCTGCCTCGGAAGAATCTTCTTTCTCTTCCTCAGCTAAAATAAATGTCATAATGAGTAAATGACTAATTATAATAAACATAATCATAAGTGAACTTATATATAAATTATATAAATTACATTTGACACCAACACCGGGTGGCGGTAATCCAGAAGGATTTAAGGTTGGGTGAAAATATACGGGAACATGTTCTTTCGTTGTAGGCTTCTCTTTCTCTCTAAAATTGTTATTATAAAATTGATTTAATATTTTAACAAAGAATTAAATATGATCACAAAAAACAATTCGTACTTTTGTAAATTTACTCCATGAGCCTAAATTATTAGAGATGATTTTAATTGTAAATATTCAACAAATTAATTCAGGAAAAAAAAAAATGATTCCAATAATAAGCTACCTTTTTAGTCTCTAATATCTTTTTAAATTTATCTTCTAAATCTTTTAATTTAGCTTTTCCATTTTTATCCAATCTCTTTTCTCTGTCTAAAAAAAAAATCAATTAGTTTGTTAGAAATCATCCTTTGTTCTTAAAAAGAAAACTAAAAATATACCAATAAAGAATAAATTTTAAGATAACAAACCGAGCGCTTTGTATCGGACTATCTCTTCTTCAAGTTTTGATGTATCTTTATGTACCATTACAAGTGTTCTAACTCGTTTTCTTTCGGCCTTATTCTGTATAAGTAAATAAAATTGTTGGTTATACAATTAATTAACAAATTAACATATTACAATTATTACAAACCTTTTTGATTTCCTTCTGCCGCATCGCTTTGCCTAATATTTGAAAACAAATTAATTGGTAATGAAATCATAAATATCGAAAGAATATTAATAACTTACGATGAGCGTCCGCGGGGTTAAGTATCCTTCCACTCTTCTTTTTGACCATTTTTTCGATCTCGAAACAACGAAATTATTAAATTAAATATTTTTGTGAAAAAATTAATTCGCTATATATATAAATTATATAAATCAGAAATACTAAAATTCTGTATTACATAAAAGGGAAATCTTTATTTAATCACATGATAAAATTCCCGGTAATACAAACGTTAGGCACGAATTTCTTAAAACCCAAAATAAATTTAACATAGAATATAATTATATTATCGTAAAAATAATGCTGACCACGTTATATTTATTTGTAAGAATGCTTCGGAATTTTTGAACCCTCGCCACAATTTATAACCGGCTGTTTAAAATGAGTGACTCAAATTAATTGCTTTTCCTTGAAGCAATAACAAATAAGTTTTGCACCATTACACCGCGTCTTTAATACAAAATGGACCTCGTCTTCTCCAATTTTCATCACCGTAAAAATCCTTGAAAATTCAGATGAATATAATGAATAAAAAAAATTAGTATTTTTTTTAGATCATCATCAAAGGAACGGAGAAAAGAAGAAAATGGATTATTTTAAAATATCTTTATAATTTTAATTCATAATTAGAAATAATTATACAAGATCTAGTTACGTACACCAGCAATAATTGGTCAAATAATTACTTTCAAATATATTACAATAAAAATTTGGGAAGGATCAGAAGATTTTACATTTAATACATATTACTCATAATATTTGTATTGAAATTCAGAAGACGTATTTAAACTTTTCAACCTCATACTTTCGGCAAAATGGACCTTTGTTGAGCGATCTCGTGCGGAATTCCAAAATATCATTTCCAAAATATCATAATATCGATATAATACGAATCTTTTATCTTAAGAGAGACTGAGAAAGAGTTTACATATGGGGAGAAGTTCATCAATTTCCCAACATATATGATTTCTTGTCCAAAATCTCATCTTGCGATGCTGAACCACAATTTTGGGACAACGGATTTGGAATTTAAAAGGGAAGACTTTTAAGAATTACATTATATTATTCGTGAAGAAATAGTATAATTCTTAAAACTCGAGGATCATGATAAGATGGAATTACGTAAACGATGGAATTCAAGGACTTGGGCTGAAGAAATTTTTTAAGGATTATTTAACTGGAAAGAAATACAGTTTAAAAAGAGATAGTATGTATTCAAACTTAATTATTACCATTTAAGAATTTTAATATGACATATTCATTTGGTAATTCTCTCTATTTTATAGCTATGAATTTTCATGTGTCCAATATTAGGTCTTAATTGCCTTTATTACTTTGAACTTCATGGCAATTCGCTTTAAAATGACAAAAAAAAGTGTTGAAATAGTCGAAAAAATTTTTACCTTAAATATGAAGATATTATAGATGTCAAAGGGACATCCTTCTGAGCGCTTAAGCTCGAAAACAATTACGACTGCGATCTAGTTTAGTTAAAGCTTGTTTACGGATCAATGAGGATATACTGATCAATTACCAAAAATTACACCCGAAAATAAAGCTTACATTTGACGAAAGCACACACGAAATCGAACAAGATTAAAGATAGATATCGACCCGATCAAAGACGGTCCAGAAAAAAAACGAAAAAAAAAGGAGAAAATCCTGTATTGCTGATTCACCGCATAGAAGAGTACTGCTAAAAAGCAAAAATGGAAAGAATATCCACAAATTTTTCTTTAATTTTAAGTTTTACCAATTTGTAATATTGGCATTTGGCACAGATTTTACAATTTGTAATACTGACACAAAATTGTAAAAAAAAATTTAATATTATCAAAACTTTTAAAGTGTAGTATATTTAATTTAGGGATCATTTCATTTTTCATTCTTTTGCCAAAGATTAATTTCTGAAACTTTTGATTTATAATAGTTAATTAAAGATCAATTTCGTATCTAAAAATTTATTAATTTGTATTTCGATATCACTTTAGTAGAAATGAAACTAATGAAACTGTGTTACATTATTTACACTATTCTTATGATATGTAACAAATTCTAACCCTTTGACTTTCATATTCAGGACTATCAATTAAATCATTGTGTAAACTATCAGGCAAAATAAGTTCTATAAAAAGTTTGTTTAAATTTGAAATGAATGAAGAATCAGAAGAAGAAGGTATAATATTATAAGAAGAAGAAAGAATCTCCAGAATGAAAATTTTTTGCATTATCTGGAACCTCCATCAGTTCGCCACGTCGAACCCTACATATGTAGCCTTTCAGTTATCATCATAATTACCAATCTTATAATTAGATATTATTAGATGGACACCCTAATTCTAATCTTAAAAGTTGTAATGTTGTTATATATCACTATTGATATTTAAGGATTTTAGAAAGGTTAACTATTTGGTTATGAAGTTTGTCTCATCTAATTGCCTTAAAATCTATATCCTTGTGTTGTCTCATACAAAAAAAACTGATCTAGAACATACATCAGTTCCAACAGGTACTACCTTCTGCCGCGCTAAAGATTTCCTTGTTGATAGTCAGCGCATAACATGCAAATTAAGCATATTGTGCATGAATTTATTATAACAAAATATTTTAAAAAGTATTTAGATTAAAATTTTAAGATTTTAAGATGGGTGCTGATGTTACTCATCCTGCTTTTGATGTTCTTGGTTACATTTTATGAATTTTGCTATAGAAATCGTGATTCACAAATGATTTACCGTAGCCCAACCTTCCAAAATCAAGAGTATCTATACCCAGCTACGTTAGGAAAAACCCGTTGTTCTCAGTAATTCAGATCATATGTTCATTTATGTTCATGTAAGTTTTACGTAATCTTCATGATGTGCCTTCATCGTCAGTAATGTACGGGGGAACATCGTCGAGTGTATTCTCTTGTCGATTTCGTCTTTCTCGTCTTGAATACATCTCTGATCATGCCGGTGGTCGATTATTCACCGCGTCAATTACTGTGTTCATCAACTGATAAAAATATTATGCCAAGCATTTCTTCTTAAAGGTCTTCCGTAATCCGACACCCATATTTTTCAAAGGTGAGGTTGAGTGTTGTTTCATCATCAAATTCCAAATCATATTCATCAATTAAGAATATGAAAATCATGTTCCAGCCATGAACGATATAAAAGCAATGCTACATGTATTCTTGTATGTTATTCAGACCGTGCTTTTCCCGATATTTGCAAAGGGATTCGTTCAATCAATGACTGAAATGTTTGACAGTTGAATCAATGGACTTCAAAACTTGTTTATAATTAAATATCTACTTTCTATAGGTAAAATTAATAATAGTGAGAAAAGCAAAAGTAGTCACTTGTACTTTATCTTTCTCTTAGTAATTTACTTTTACTTCTAAATTATTACTGCTTCTGTTTCCACTATAATCATTTACAGCGTATTATTATATAATAACACAACGAAAATTTCGTAAGGTTGGAACCATTCCAGGTTCAGCATTAGGCCAAGTTTCGTATCACAAATTGTGATATGATTTCTTCGATGTTTTTAATAATTGGCCGTCGTAAATATCGGTCGTTAAATGTCGAGCTATCCCTTTCAGTGTCGAAGCAAACTTCGAAGGCGTGCAGATTTGTTGTTGCGGAAGTAGCGGAAATTAATTTATGGGAAAAAAAATTAATTTGTGAAAATCACGTATATTAAACTTTAATTTATTATTATAGAACATCATCTAGTATATGTGAATTTCATAATTCATCTTTTATTATAATGTCTTATCGTAGCAATAAAAAAATATGTTGATCCATTTCATTTTTTTAAAAAAAAATACAATTTTTATTCATATTAAATTATGCCGATCATGTGGCGCAACTTCAATTATGAAAAATTTCTACCGACTGTAATTTTTGTAATATCCGTCCATATATTTTGTGAAATTTGCCAGATTACATAAAACAAATTAATGACGTAATTATTTTAATTCATAAAAAAATGAAATTAACTAATATTGTGCTCAAGAAACTAATTATTACTAAATCTCTTTAATCTAGCCTCTGTCATTGCTTGAATATTGGGTTTTAATCTTTGTTCTTCCATTTGTTTTTCAATATTCTCGGAGATTTCTGCCTGCTTTTTCAACTTAATAGCTCGCGTCTTTCCAGATTCGAGTCGATTATGCAATTCTTGATTGGTAATTTCAGAAACGTCAACTATATTATTACTATCTACCTTACTAACAACACGATCAACAAGAAATTTAACCCTGTTAATTCCATTCTCATCAAAGGATGATGCGTCAGAGAATTCGCAAACCACATTCGTCGGTCGGAAATTATTGGTGGTCATAACATTTTTTGATCCTTTGAGTGAGACATCACTACATTCCGCAAGATTCCAAAGAAGAATTAATGCATCACTTTTCACATCAAGTACAGTCTCAAGAAGGTTTAAGGAATTATCGGGATCAATTTTGGAAATATTATAAGATAAGATATGTGGAATGGAAGTTAGGGTTACAAGGTTTAGCCAATTTTTAGGGCCAATACGTTGAATCATATCGTCTGCCAGAATTTCTGAGGAAAGTGTGTTATCAGAGGAAATAAGCGAATGAATAGAACCAGATGTTATGTAATCTTGTGAACCAAAAATAATAGAGGGACCTCTGATACTTTCAAATTCCTTATTTTTGGCTATCATCCAATAAATTCGATTCAACAATCTTATAAGTGCTCGTGTATTATGAATAATTGATAATTGAGTTGTTGCAGCAGCAAGTTCCTCCTTTCCTAAATGACGTTTCCAGAAAGCTTTTATGCAAATATCTATCGCTTGAAAGACCATTACTCGAAGCAAGTTTCGATCATTAATGGAAATCTCATCTAAAGATAAAGCAAAAATATGAGAATTATGTGGAGCAAACAATAAGTTGTCGATATATAATGCATAACGTCGGACTTTGTTTGATTTAAGGTAGGTCTGAAAATCTTGAGATTTCAGACCACGCAAAAGTTCTTTTAAGACAGGTTTGAGACATTTCTGTGAGAGTAATGCCATACGGACCACACCAAAATCTCCTTCATCTTCAACCTTTCTTTTCTTTATATTGAAGTCACTCATGGTCATTTGTTGTCTGGATGGTAAGGTTTCCTTTTTCCTTTGTTCCGCAGTTCGTCGGCGTTTTTGCATGATACATTCAGCAAAAACTAAGGTATTTACGTAGAGAATTGCGTATGAATCTGATGCTTCATTGCGTGGAAATTTTTTTAAAAAATTAACAACCCGGTGAAGAGTACTTTCAATTAGGTTGCGAGTGCATTCATCATCTTGAAGGCTGGCAATTCGTTGTAAAAACAACCATCTGCAATCACGAACTGTTTCATGGTAGTCCTGTAATACCTCAATAGGAGAATCTGGGAAAAAGAGATCAATTAATTTATCACCGCCAAAGATATGCTTAGAGATATAAAAAGCAATATCGGTGTTCAAGCGTGCTAAAGCAGTACCAACAATAGTAAATTGTTGATGCTCATCTAGGGCTGAGAAAGATTCTGGCGTTACTGATGAAAGTGACATGTAATTTGACAAGACTTTGAATTGTTTGCTAACAATATCCTTAATCTCCTCTAAATATTTTTCCATGTTCGTTGACTGTTGTTGCTCTGCAGCTTCGCGAACGCACTTTTTTGAGTATTCGGTAATTCCGTAATAAACTGTCCGTTCAAGTCGGTAATATTGATCCTCATTTAATGAAGTTTGGTTGTTCTCATCACTAGGTGGGAGGCAAATTCTCACTGGAAGATAGGGTTCAGTCTCAACAAAGTTGAGAAAACAATTGAGAACATGAAAATGAAATCGAGGTCTGTTGGATGATGTTTTAAGGCAGTACAATGCACGTTCCAATATTTGCCACTTAAGAAGTTCTAATTTGAAACCACAAGAGCTGACGAATGACAGAAAATTCCAGCAGTGCCAATAGGTATTATAAATAGGCGTGTTCAGGAGATCGAGTATATTATACGTCTTGATACAAAGCTTTATCCATGTGTGTTCATAGATCTTTAATGAACGATTCTGAATCAATGTTAAACCATGAAGTCCCCAAGAAATCAAATTGTCTTTTGTTTGTAAATCAGTTTCTGATATCGAACTAATCAAGACACAATATTTAGAATGTTTTGCTAATATTAGCGACTTAAAAAAAAAATTTGATTACCCTCATTACCTTTCAAGAAGACATTTTGCAATTTCAATATTTATTTTGAGGCCAATAATAGGATCTTTTTCATCATCAGGCTTGTTCTTTTCAATATCCATTCGCCTCTTAAAATCTTCACATAACGTTTTATATTTGGTCGCCAATACTGAACCTTGAATTGCAGACTAAATTAAAATTAATAAGAAGTTATATTATGTATAAAACATTTCAATGAAGTAATGAAATACTTTTATATTTGTTCTTACGTTTTCAACGAGCCTATTTACTGAGTTAATATATTCTTGAATCAAACCACCCGTTTTTTCATCATCAACTTGAACTATATCATAATTGATAAGGTCAGAGACGCTTTGTGAAAGGATGCTATTTGACATGATTTTAGTAAAGAGGTACTGCCAATTCATTTGAATTCCATTAGAGAAAGAAAGTCCGTGAAGTTCAGTTTCATCTTTAATACGTTTTAAAATTGTTGAAAAAACTGCAAAATTGTCATTTGTAAGAGTGCGTGCGGTAATAATTTCTTCGGGAATATATTGCCAGGCAAATGCTTTCGAGTTTTGAAATCCTCGAGTGAATATAATTTTATCATCATTATTAGGATTCATTATATTGGTCTGAGAAGAAAACAAATTGATTCTGGATATATCTAACGTTTCACATTGTTGTTTAGAGCCGCGCACTAAAACTGTAAGCATTGATGGTCCACGCGTTTGAATTGTGCTGGCCCATAGTAACAGTAACTTGGCTTTAGAATGAATATAACTAGTAAGTTGTTCCGAAAACATGGACTGATCACTTTCTGTTTCTTGAGGAATTGCAGTATGAATAACCAGATGACTGGAAGCCATGTAAGTAAAGAATTCAAGTAGATACCCTGAGAGCTATCAAAAAGAACACGTCAGTTATTAAGGAATATCTTAAAATTGAAATAATATACAAAAGGGTTAAATTATCCTTACAAGATTACCAGCTTTAGCTGTAACAGAATCTGCAATATCACAACAATCCAGAAGTATCAAATCATGTTCTTTTAGAACGTACATCATCACACCGACTGGCAATAAAGATTTTGCTAGTTGTTCTTCAGTTAGGTAATATCCCAATTCAAATAAGAGGCTGTGAATGGCTGTAGTACGCCCAGACTTTTTTGTTCCGATGAATCCCACAACTTTGACATTATTAGAAAAAGTTGAAAATAAACTCGGATTGGAAAAGAAATATTTTTGTTCATCCATATTCCAGCATATTATTGGGTGGAGTTTGACCGATAAACGTGTGTTCTTTTCAGATTGATTAGATTGATTAAACTCGTTGGTCATAATCGTGTCTTGATTATTTTGGCTACTCATAACAGACCAATTGGACTGAGGAGAAAGAAAATTTTCATTTGTAGCTCGGGTGTGATTAATCAAAGGAGCATTTGATGAAGAAGAAGCGATTGACATATTGGTATCTGAATAAGCGTAAGAATACACATATTCAGGAACTGTTGTGTTCGTTAAAGTAGAGTCAACCTCGTCACCAAATTCAGAGGTAATTTTGGGATAATTATATCTTTCAGATTGAGATCTAAAAGTTTCAATAGAATCTCTCGTAGAATAAATTCTTGCTCCTTCGTTCCAAGAACGTGATTCCAAGACGTCGACAACATTAGCAGTTTGAGTACTCGGCATAGTACTATTTTCACCATCAGAACCTTTATAAAGTTTGGTTTCAATTGGGGTAAACTCGAGAAAATTGGTAATATTATAGAGAGCGACTTTATTCTTGTGTTTTATGGTTATCTGACACAATTTTTTTATATATCCGATAGTTTTCTCATAAAAATTTCCAGATCCATATAATATTCCATAGGTTAATAGACCACCAAAGAATGCTGAAGCTACAATTGGTCCCCCTTCAATTAAATTTGTGACACCTGTGCTGAAAATTGCTGAACCGGCACTTAATAAGGCTGAAATGTCATGTTTTGAGGCATTCGAAAAGTGATTCTCTAATCGAGTAGCAACTAGATTGAGCTGCTTTACGCAATTAATGGCGATGAAGCTTGCACAAGTTGTAATGAAACCAATTAATGCCCATATACCCAGTTTTTTCCAGAATTCACCCCATGACTGTTTTCCAAAGAGACAAGCAAAAATTTCAGCAGCACCAGCTCCAATAAAGATAGAATTACCAATTGTTAACACGTTTTTATGTGTAGGAACGGTGATGAACGGAATTATAACCAAACCGCCAACTAAAATAAGAAAATTAATAAAAGTATAATAAATTTCATTAAAAAATAATAAACATTGAAAGCAATAAGCAATTTTAGCGTTACATACCAATGCAACTAACAGCAACTAATAATTTTCCGACTTTTGCTCCCATAATTGATATTCATAAACTTCGCCAGTTTTAAAATTTAACTATTTTTTTTTTAAAAAACAACAATAAAATAAAATGAATTTTTTATCGAACTCAATAATTAAGTTGTTTGAAAAAAAAAAGTTAAAAAATTTTGTTCTAATTTACCTGGTTATGTTTGTAAACATATCTGCTTCTTATCAAGATTTTCCAATTTAAGTTTTAAACTCATTTTTTTTACTTGATATAGACAAATTTTACTTTCATTCATTTATATTCTCTGGTGATTCAAAGAATAAAATGATATCAAATTAAAGAAACTCATTTGATTTTTTTAAGTAGATATGCGATGATAATCGTTTGCGTGATCGTTGTAACTAAATTTGGGCAAACAAAAGGGAAACCTGATTCCTAATTTTACCACCTGAATAGAGTATGCTGCGTAGAGGTCGATATTAGGTCGATATTTAAGTAATATTTCAATTATGTAATCTTTTATTAAGATGTTTACTCTCAATTGATTGTATATATAATATTACAAAAAAGTTTCCAGGGTCATTGTGACATTGAGCATGTTACTAATACAAATTAAGCAATTGGTATATATTTATTGAAGATATATATAGATGTTTGTTTATTTTCTTTCTTTGCCGCGTTATTTAAAATATTTCGTTGTGTTATAACTTTAAGTGGCTCTTGACTAAAAGATTATTCTTTTTAACTAAAGTAGCACGATAAATGAATAATTAGAACAATGGTTACTCATTGTTTACCTAAGAGTGTGCTGCCACATGACATATATGTATCGTTATTCACACGATGGTTTAGCCACATTGATCCTTGAAAACAAAACAAATCAGGTAATTTACATTTTTTTCACTCTTTTCCTACATTGAAAAGAAAATGCTCAATATTATTAATAATGATTTTACGAGAAATATATTTCACTTCAAGATGAGTAATAAAATAAATTTTTTGTTTTTTTGAATTGATTCGTGTAATCAAGTGGTTTATTCTGAAGCTGGTTATGTGCTGACTACTACGTTAACATTTTATATGCAATTCTTTACATAGTATTTATTATATCAAATGATTTGTCTATCTGTTATTTACTCAATATCAAAAATAAATATACATTCATACAAACAAAATCCTAATTTTCATATTCTATACATTTTACCTGCAAGAAAATATGAAGATGGACTTTAGGGATAAATCAGTAGATGCATATCATATTCTAGAGATCTTTCTACAGATGCTTTCTACTGTAAAACAACATACTATCTATTATCCTTAATACTTTGATGCTAAATTGACTACTATTTGACCGGTTAAGATCTAAGTCTGCGCCGCAACGTTAAAATTCGGAATATTTCGTAAACAATTTTTATCTCGTTCATTTAACATTACCATTCCATCATTCCTTTTAAGCCACTTTATTGCCTGATATTTACTTAAGTCTCTTTTTTCTTTTTCTCTTTTAAAAAAAGGAAACAAATGTCATCGCGCATACCATCAGAAATTCTTCAAAGATATTATTAAATATCTTAATCTAATATAAAAAATATAGCAAATAATAAAGAATTATATAAATGTTTATTCGTTAATAAATTTTGGCGCGTGAATGCAGTAATAATTTTATAAAAGAATGGAATCCTATAATTCAAGAAAGAAAGAAATCAAAAATCATTAATTACAATTTAATATTATCATTTTTAAATGAAGAATCTAAAAATAATATTTTAAATAAAATAAAATGAAATAATCTTACCTGTTTAATGATAATAATAATAAGAAGAATTATATTTAAAAATTTTTAGGATATACAGTAATTATTTTGGTATAATAATAGTATTATTGTAATTTTAATAATATATCAATCAAAAAAATTATAATTGTGATCATAACACTAAAAATTTTACAAAAAAATCAATTAATAATTTTTTAAATTATTATTAATTAATATTAATTAAGAATTGTAATAATTTAAAATTTCAAATTAAGCCTAAAACACTAAATTTTTAATATACTGAAAATGTTTATGAATTAAAAATTTTAATTCAGGTAATAAATTAGAATATAATGAAGGTTTATTTATCTAGATTTAGGAATATTTAAAAATTCAAGTTTTATGAATTTATCTAAAATTATTGAAAGCATTAAGAAATAATTTATTATTAACAAATGATAAATTACTTATAAAGATTACTGAAGGTAAAATTAGACTAACAGCTAATGTACAATACAATTTACAGCTAACTTATAATACAGTGTATTAATTAATATATTTATTTAGATATTCCTGTAAATTTGAATCAATTGACAAAATATTAATGGAAGTCTGGAATCATTAAAGTTGGTATTATGAAATTGATTCAGAAAAGGCCCATAAGAATATTGCAAAAAATTAACCTGAATTTAAAAGAACTTTATACATCAATTTCTATATCATCTATTCAAATTATTCCTAAAATATTTTAAAGGTCATTTCTTCTCCTAAATTGAAAACTTTTACTTTAGTTTTACATCATTTAGACTGTAATATTGAAATTTTTAATTATTTACATCAGAATGATAGAATTATATAGAAAAAGTTACAAATACAGAAATGTAATAAATGTAATCAAAAAACTTATTATAACATATATCGATTACTGATTTAGGAAAAAAAAAAAGAATTAATCAAAAAATGAACAATTTATTCGAACCAATCCGATTCTTTGTTTACATAACCCCTAAATTTAATCGTCATAATGAATAAACCAACGGGAATTCCTATGGATTTTTTGATTTTATAATCAAAAAAAATTAGCCGAACCTTAAAGAAAGCTTATTTTCAATATATTCTGTGATATTGTGATCATTTCCATAATTTGTAAAATGTTTTAATAAAATTGTGCTGATACTGTCACCAAAAATACATATTACCTTTTTTATTTCATATAATTTTGCATTGTGTAACTTTCCTGCCATCTTTTAAAGCGGCAGACGTTGCATTTCAAAGAAGACATACGATTTTATTATTAGAATTGGAATAAGCAGAGTGACCAAGTTACTATTAATGGTACAGTAATTAAATTGTCAGATTATTAATAACTTACAGTTAATTCATATATTCGGCTATCCTTTTAAAATTTGATGTTTTATCTGTAGGTGATCGTAAACCTTAGCAAGTTGTTTATGGACCAATGAGAGATTTTTCCTAAGAATTTCATCAAGATATCATCAAGATATGGAAAGTTTATCTAGAAAATAACATCCAAATAGTTACATTGATGGCGCATCTAAAGCACAGTCATAGATCGAATTAGTTTTACAGCTTTGAAAGTACTGCATTCATAGTTCAAAAATTATTTCTAATGGTAATAATAATTTTTTTTTTTAATTTTATTAAAAAAAAAGAGCTTAATTTTGTTTGTGGTAAAAGGATTTTTTGTGTTTTTGAAACGTGAATTAAGGGAAGGAAAGGCTGCGTTTCGAAACTAATGAAAAAAATTCCTGTTCAACAGGTCTAAATAAAATTAAAGGAAGTAAATAATAAATAATAATAATAAACATAGTAATAATAATACATAATATAAAATAATGAAAATTGCGAAATAAATAAATAAATAAAATAAGTTAAATAAATATTCACAATTTTCTTTCTAAATAAATAAATTTATATGAATTTTTTTACAAAGTATAAATAAGGGCAAAATTTCAAAAATATATAAAATTAAAATCTAAAAATAAAAATAAAAATAAACATATATATATAAAAATATATATTGTATAATATAATATAATAATATATATACTTTTCTACAACTAACATTAATTATATCATACTTATTTTCTTGAGAAAAGATTGCTAATTTTTAATATATATTTCTTTGCTTTTGATCCTTTTGATTTTCTTTCATTATTAGTAATTTCAGAATCAGTTGGTGGTTGATGATGTTGATCAATATCAGATGATAAGGTAGCAAGATCTGATAAAGTTGTAGTTGTCGTAGTTGTAGTAGTATTTTGCACACTATGATTTGGATTATGATGTTTTGATAACTTTTCACGTAAATATGAGATTCCAAAATATTTTTTAAACCGATTCGTTTTACTTGAAGATCTTGTTTGTATAGATTTTGGTGTATTATTTGTTGATCTATCTTTTATTGACGGTTCTCGTGAATGTTGTGTATTTGAATGCATGGAACCTGCAGGTTCATGCTGAACTTGATGTACACTAAATACTTCTTCAGTATTTTCAGGTTCTTCTACTACTATCTGGAAAAGTATAAAAAGTATATTAGATTTGGTTATATGTTAAATCATGGATGTGGCGTCTCATGATTCTCATGATTCTCATGATGCGTCATTTCCATGTAATTTCCATGTAAAATATTTACACAGTGAATGATTCCCCTTAGATACTTGCCTTTGTTTCTATTTCCTGCCGTATACTTTCTCGCATATGTGCTCGATATTTATCAAACTATAAGAAAAAAAAAGCCAATAAATAAGTATATATATAGATATATATTTATTTATTTACTAGTCTATAACACTAATTCATACCTGTGATATTAAATCAGCTGAAAATGAAAATGTATACCGATCTGAAATTCTACCAGTTGTCTGTTTATTAGGACGTGGTATAACAGGAGGATGATCCACATTATCATCACGTAAGGTGTGATTTGATGATTCAGCAGTTGAAGAAGAAGCCACAGTTTGATATAAATCAGGATGCGCTTCTTCTTCTTGTACATTTTGTACTTCATTGTCATCGGATTGTACTCTTTGTTGTTCTTCGTTATCTTCATCTTGTTCACTGTCTACATTTTGTTCATCGACTTCATGTTGTTCATGCTGTTCATGTTGTTCATCGACTTCGTATTCATTGTCATCGTATTGTTCATTATCTTCGTGTTGTTCATCGTCTTCATGTTGTTCATCGTCTTCATGTTGTTCATCGTCTTCATATTGTTCATCGTCTTCATATTGTTCATTGTCTTCGTGTTGTTCATCGTCATAGTCTTCGTTTTGCTCATTTTGTTCATTTAGAATTTCTTCTGTTGTGGATATTGTCGATGTTTGTTCTTGTTGTTTTTGCTCTTTAGTAGACATGATTAAATATATTCGTTTGAAAGAAGAAGAATTAGAAAAAGAAACCGAGTAAACTACAAAATAATTTTTTTTGGATGTAAAAGAAAACCTAAGGAATTAAAGAGTCTTCTAATTTTTATATCGGAAAAAATTTTTTTTTTTCGTCGTAAAGAAAAAAATATGATGGTCGTAATAAATAAAATTGATGGGATTGTATTTAAAGAAAAAACCAAATATTCTATAATCAAATGTATATATGTATAATATCTAAAAAATTTTAATATATTTAAAATTTTAAATATATTTTTAAATATATTTGTAAATATTTTTTCCTACCTCGATAAACAAAATGAAAAAAAAAAATAAAATAAAATAAAATAAGAATAAAAAGAAAAAAAAGAAAATTCTATAACAATCTAAATTTTCTAATATATGATGTAATATAAATTTTTTTTTTCCACCAATATTTGTTAATATTTTTTTTTTTTTAATGAATATCGGTTTATCTTTTTTTATTTTATTTTATTTTATTTTGATTTTATTTTATTTTTATTATTTGGACTCGCCAAATAAAGAAAAGATGATAGTTAAATAAAATAATAAATTAATTTAATTTTAAGAGTACTTCAAGTACAAGCATGAGGGGAGAATTTTTTTCTCAAGGGATTCTGGGGATTCTGGGGATTCTGGGGTAGGAAAAATAAAAAAAAAAATCGACGAAAAAAAAAAAAA